CATGAAAAACTTTCGTAGGACGTATTTTCTTGTAAAGTTCATATTTACTGAGATATCGCACTTTGACGCACTAATGAGCAACCCTGTATATCAAGTATTCCGTAAACTGGAAAGGCGGTTATCTCAAAAATAAAATCACTTAACAATAACTCCTCACAATACCTGTGTATAAACATTCGAAGCAGCATAACAACTAAAATTCAACTAACTGCAGGAAGTGGTCAAATTTTGTAAAACAAACGACGTGTCTTTGGTGGCTGTTGGGCCAGAAGATCCTTTGGCAAATGGCATTGCCGATGTTTTAACATCCCAAGGTATCAATGTGTTTGGACCTGACAAAAGTGGCGCTCAAATTGAGGCCAACAAAGAGTGGGCGAAAGCTTTTATGGACCGGCATGATATTCCAACAGCCAGATGGAAATCATTTAATAATTCCAAAGATGCAAAATATTTCATTAACAGGTAATGGACTGGTTAGGAAATGGTTCTTCCTGAAAATCATTCAACCTTATTGTGGTTTTCTAAGACTTTCTTAAACTATTGAACACATTGAAGTCTAGCTGTTGAACATTTATTGAAAAGTACATGAGAAATTAATTTTCAACTTTAAGCGCACCCTTTCCTGCTTTGGTAGTCAAAGCCAGTGGACTAGCATGTGGAAAGGGAGTGGTGGTGGCATCGAATAAGCAAGAAGCATGTGATGCTGTGGACATTATTCTAACTGAGAAAAAGTATGGTTCGGCTGGAGAAACCGTTGTTATTGAGGAACTTATTAAGGGAGAAGAAGTTTCAGTAAGATCTTATAAAACTTCAGTTTTTATTTGCAGATGAGTCAGTTCCATTTATAGATATGTTCAATTTTAGGTTTTGGCTTTTTGCGATGGAGATTCAATAAAAGCTATGCTGCCGGCTCAGGATCATAAGAGAATTTTTGATAATGATGAAGGTCCGAACACGGGTGGTATGGGTGCATATTGTCCATGCCCTTTGCTACCGAACGAAGAAATGAAGTTCGTGCAAAAGGAAATTTTAGAAAAAACGCTTATGGGACTTAGAAAAGAGAAAATTCATTACACAGGTACAATATCTTTGAGTGTACCTAATGAGCAACTCTAACTAATACGTTCTGGCTTCAGGTGTCTTATATTCCGGTCTAATGCTCACTGCAGAAGGACCGAAGGTGTTGGAATTCAACTGTAGGTTTGGTGATCCAGAAACGGAAGTGATTCTGCCTTTATTGGAATCGGATCTCTATGAAATTATGCTCTCTTGTTGTAATACCACTCTGGAATCTCAAGAATTGCATTGGAAAGAAAAGCTGAGCGCTGTAGGCGTAGTGATGGCTTCCAAAGGATATCCAATTTCATCTAGCAAGGGCCAAGTCATAAAAGGTATATATTTAAAACCTACATAACTCTCTTGAAGACAATTACCTGATTGACATGTACATGATGCTTCTATTCCTATGAAACCAGTTTTTGATCATTTTCTTTACAAAATCTCTATGTGTCTTAGGAGTAAATGTAGTCAATTCCAAAGCCAATCATGTGGTATTCCATTGCGGAACATCCATAAAAGATGATAGTTTGGTGACCAATGGCGGAAGGGTTCTAGTAGCAGTCTCATTAGCTCCAGAACTTGCAATTGCAGCCGCTAACGCAACGAAAGCTTGTGAATCAATTAAATTTGATGGAGCTCAATACCGAAAGGATATCGCGCATAAAGGAGTGGCAAGGCAAGTAAAGTAATGAAATTAATTAATTCTTAAGCGGATATTTCCTACAATGATCACGGTGGTCCAATTTCTGAATCCAAGCTTAAAAAATCTAATTTATTAACTGTGGTTAAACGGTTAAAAGTAGTCATTTTTGTTCCATAATGATAATTTTAATGAAAAAAGAACTGATTTGAAATACCTATTCGTTTCCTCGCGAAATCTACTCGAATAACCTGAGCCACTCTATATATTTAATTTAAATAATTTTATCATGCTTTGCATTCCACAAAAAACACTCTCGATATACATTTTCCATCCACAGCTATTGGATTAATCAGTTAAATACCATTCCCTTTTTCAGTTCAATTCTAAAATCGGGTAAATTAACTTACAAACAGAGCGGTGTGGACATAACAGCTGGCAACAAACTGGTTGACCACATAAAACCAGCAGCTAAATCAACCAATAGATCGGGAGTTTTGGGATCATTGGGTGGCTTTGGTGGGCTCTTCGATACCAAAGCTGCTGGGTATAAAGATCCCTTATTGGTATCTGGAACTGATGGTGTTGGAACAAAATTAAAGGTAGGTGATATCAGCCAGAAGTTGAAAGTCGTTTCAGTCAAGCTATGGTTTCAGATCGCTCAAGAGATGAATTTACATGAAACAATAGGCATTGATCTTGTGGCTATGTGCGTTAATGATGTGCTAGCACATGGTGCTGAACCTTTATTATTTTTGGATTATTTTGCCTGTGGGGCTTTGGATGTCGATGTGGCCAGGCAAGTAGTTAAGGGCATTGCGGAAGGATGCAAACAAGCTGGATGCTCGTTGATTGGTAAGTAAACTGAAAAATGTAATTTAATAGATACCGAAGTTTGGGATTATAGTTATACTTCTGAAGATCAGGCCAGATATTGATAATATTATATCTGCGTAAAGCTTTCAATCCAATTTCTAAAATATAAACTCTTGTTCTTCCATTTTAGAAACCATTTAACTGCATTCCTTGACTATTTTCAGTAAGCCATCACAAAAATTTCAGATCTTCATGAGGTGTTTTCCTCAACATATTGCAGTTAATATTAGCATATATCTTTTCGTTCTCTCTTAATTACTGAAACGTAAAATTTAGGCTACTGATAATATTCACACCGATTTGTTTTGTTATTATTCATATTTCCGTTTTAGCGTTAATGCTTTATATGTATATTTGTTTGTGCATTTTGATTTTCCAACACGATCGTGCTACCTGATATCCGGAAATTTCCCGAAAAGTTACTAGAAGCAAACTGTTTTAACTTACGGCACATAAATTCGGTTCACTTCATCTGGAAGTTCATTATAATAGGACTTATTAAATACGGTAAAAATGTGTTAGTTTCAATTGGGGTTCCCTGCAAGAGGACGTTGCTATAACTCAGTTTAATAAAATATGAATAAAAAGTAGTCAAAAAGAAGCTTGTTGTAATACGTACCCGATTTTCAGGAGGAGAAACTGCTGAAATGCCTGACATGTATCCAACAGGAGACTATGACCTGGCAGGTAAGACATCGCACCAATGTAATCACTTCCACGGGATTTAAAATATCCTACCTAGTTTATGGAAACTGGAATTTTTCTTGGAAAATTTTCACTCCCGATATAAACGAACGATTTGTTATAAATATAAATTTAGGTTTTGCTGTTGGAGCTGTGGAGCGATCTCAACTAATGCCTCATATACAGGACATAACAGCTGGAGATGTGATTATTGGCTTACCATCATCAGGAGTGCACAGCAATGGCTTCAGTCTAGTCAGGAAAGTAATGAAATTGGCCGCGGTAAATTATCGCGACAAAGCACCATTCGGCAGCAACGGGAAAACATTCGGTAAGTAAAAAAAATAAAAGAATAAATGAATTATTTGTAACAAAGTCCGCCAATTGATTAACTAGGTGAAGAATTGCTAACTCCGACAAAAATATATGTGAAATCGGTGATTGCGGCGGTGAAAACAGGAAATGTTAAAGCATTTGCACATATAACTGGCGGTGGTTTACAAGAGAACATTCCTAGAGTACTTCCGGATCACTTGGCAGTAGAACTTGATGCTTCAACATGGGAGGTCCCATCAGTGTTTTCATGGGTAGCTACAGCAGGCGGCATAAGCGAAACGGAAATGTTAAGGTAAGAAAAAGAAGATAGAAAGTTTAAAATAAATTTCTTAACTATGGTACAAAACAACAAACTTCACATATAAAATTCCCAAATGCAATTTAATTTCAGAACATTTAACTGTGGTATCGGCGGAGTAGTGATAGTAAAACCGGAACATAGTCCAGAAATATTATCTATAGTGAAGCCGGACGGAGGAAGACAAATAGGGCGGATAACGAAGAAAGACCAAGGTGTGTGTGCGCCTTTTAAATTTTAACTAATACAACTTATTTTAGGCTTTTTACATTAGGCTCCACATACTTTCAAAGAAACTAGTTCAAAGTTATATCGCGTTTATTTTTAGATCAAGTCGTCGTCAAGAATTTCACCAATGTACTGGAGCAAACAATGCGACCTTATGTGCCTGAGCTGATTTCCAAATTGAGTGAGTCCAAGAAAAAAGTTGGAGTACTAATATCAGGAAGCGGCACCAACCTACAAGCCTTGATAAATGCTACACAAGATTCTACTCAGCATTTGGGAGCAGAAATTGTTTTGGTGATATCGAACATTCCAGACGTTGAAGGACTAAAGAGGGCTGAAAGAGCAGGAATTGCTTCAAAGGTAAGAAATTGAGAAAAAGTCAGAATCTGATCTGATTAACAATCGCTCCCGTAATGAATTGTGTCTAAGATAAAGAAAAACATTTTGCAGGTTTTAAGTCACAAAGACTATAGAAATCGAGTAGATTTCGACATGGCGTTGAACAAAGAACTAACGATTGCAGGAGTCGAAATTGTATGTTTAGCAGGATTCATGCGGATTCTTAGCGTCGATTTTTGTGAGAAATGGAGAGGACGACTTATTAACGTTCATCCTGCACTGCTTCCGCTTTTTAAGGGCACGCACGCTCAACGACAAGCTTTGGAAGCGGGAGTGAGAGTCAGTGGATGCACAGTGCATTTTGTTGAGGTACGTAAAGCAGTTTCTTGATCTTTATCTAATTGTTTCGGTGTTTCCGAGGATTAAGAAAATTGCGTCCAAATATCTAGCTTTAACCAAGCATAATAATCGACTTTTCATTTTAAACCAAACATCGAAAAGATTATTATTAGATAAATTAATGTACTGTGCTTTCGACTATGTTTGTTCACGGCAAAAGAAACCCTTCGATTAATTTCAAATGATCACCTACAAAATAATTTCAAAAAAATTCGATTCAATAAATTGTTTTACGCATATTTCGATGAATGGTTTTTAAAATATGAAGATATTTTCAGCCGGACGTAGATGCAGGAGCCATTATAGTACAGGAAACTGTACCGATTGAAGTTTATGATACGGAGGAGTCTTTGATTGAAAGAATAAAAACTGCTGAACACAAAGCATTCCCTAAAGCTTTGAAATTATTGGCAACTGGAAAAGTTCGGTTAGGCAGCGATAAAAAAATATTTTGGTGCTGAAAACACGACACTAATCGAATCATGTTTAGTTTTTTTTCCACTAGAAATTTAAATTCAATGTTATAAATTGTAAATGTTATTTCCAGTCTGAGGCAAGTTGCAAGTGAATATTTAAAATTACGTGATTTGTACGTGTACGCAAAAATGTTAAAAAAAACATATAACTGTTATATGTTTTTGGTGCGCGGTTAAAAATATGACAATTTCCAATTGTAATCTAAGTCATTTAATGTTTGTTAAACTCTCACTCGATAAGACTGATTTTATACTAACTATTTTTGGACCAATTAGATAGAAGATTGTAGATATTCTGTAGTAATTCGGCCGTTTCAATATTTTTATTGTTTTATATGCAATTAACTTTCTGATGTGATATGTAGTTCTATTCGTAACGATACTTACGCTCACGCCTCGTGACAAAATCTCTTAAATTATTGCCTCCCTCTAAACATTGTTACTTAACAAGTTATATGTTGAAATATACAGTGTGATTTGCTTCAAAATGTGATTTTTTTTCAATTAGCCAATACTAAAATGAAGTAAGTTGAGAAGAGGTAAAAGCATTTTCCCAAAAAAAATAACATGGAGAATTAAAAAGTTCATTAATATTCGTTCCTTTTAAAGAGATTTCAATATTTATAGTGCGGATATGTGTAATTCCTGAAGTTTAAACGCTCCGTATAGTTGACAATTATACCCACTGTATCTATGCTGTGTTTGTTTATTGAATATTGAAAATATTTTTTACACATCGTTGTGAGCATGAGCATAAAGATTACGCGATTGGAAAAGGTAAACAAATATTCAAAGTAAACAACCATTAAAGATATCTCGAAATAATTGTATGTATGAGAAAAACATCTAATTTGCATAATCGGGCTGAAAACTCTACAACAATCTACATTTCATTATTATCAATTCAAGGCAAAAATAACAAAAACTTGTTTTTTGCATATTAATTAAACTTGTGGACATTCTCACGCATGAGATGTTTAGCTTTGATTCATCCAACAAACATGTCTGTTTTAAGTTCGCACGACAAAGCCGTCCTGGCATGCGTTTTTAATCCGAATTTACCAATAGAGGATGCGGAAATTGATGTGGAGCTTCAAGGTAATCGAACTGTTTTTTTTTTAATATATCGAATACGTCTGTTGAACAAATATTTGCTTCTAATTTTAGATCAAGAAGAAGAAACCGCAAATACTATCTCAAGCAAAAAGATGGAAATTCAAGCGGTGACAATGGTCGAAAAAGGGAATTTTACGGAGGGTTTAAATATGCTTAATCGAGCCGTTGAGACAGCTCCAAACAGACCTTCCTTGTACAATAACCGAGCTTACGTATATCAATACCTAAGACGATTTGAAGGTATAATTATATAAAACTTAACTCACGTTTAATTTTTCTTTTTCTTGATATAACAAAGAAAAAGATATATTCACTGCGTATTGTGTTTATATTATAAATTTTAGATGCGTTTAATGACCTGACTATTGCCATTGAACTATGCACTAATCAACATCAGAAAACACTATGCCAAGCATATTGTCAAAGGGGCATATTGCATAAACGAGCTGGACGAAAAGAACTCGCAAAGGCAGATTTTGATAAAGCTTCAGCATTAGGCAGCAAATTTGCTAAAAGTCAGGTGTGTAAAACTAAATTTGACAATGTTTCTTCAGAGCAAATTGAGTTATTTGAGACAAGTTTTCTTTCTACGTTCGTTCAGCAATAACACGTTAAAGTCGAAACGAAACACAATGCATGATGCAAAATAATTGTTTTTTATTCTGCTGCATCTGAAACTAATATAGCACAATCAAAACATTTCACATTCTTGCAAAGCCCCAAAATATAAAAATAAAAGAAAAAGCAATATTTTAAAAATCTGCTCACGTTTAAATTGTTTTTTAGTTGGTGGAGTTAAATCCCTACGCAGCTCTCTGCAATCAAATGCTAAGGCACGTAATAGATATATTGAAGGAAAATCGAAGCTGAATTATTTACAATCAATTTATTTAAACATATTACCTACTAATAATGTATCCCTAAGAAAATAAAAAGTATTCCCTAACAAAACATAAATAAATGCATTTTTTTTCTATCGAAGCACATACCAACTAATTACAGATCATTTGAGTAAAATAAGTGTAACAGATTACACGTATATACAAAAAATCGTGTACACATAAAGACGTCATGTACTATACCACTCTCGGGGATGCGATTTATCTATTTAAAAAATATATGTATAACACTGTTGGATGTAAAAGAATATATAATCTCAACGACCAAATATATTAATTCCATAAGAACATTAACATTCATACTATTTTCAAATTCCTAATTTATCGAGAACCCACATCTAGATTTTATTTATAATAACATTGACAGCTTATAATTGTTGATTAAATTTTGGACTTTAACTTAGTTATTCTTACGCTGGGTGTGTGATAGCGATACATATTATGTTCTAAATGGTAAGACGGTACGAAAAGTCTAATATGGAACAAAAAGTTTTCAACCTGGATTCTTTTAAATATACAATTTTATTTAAAAATGACTTTTGCAATATAATCCGCAACCTTGCCAACAAATGTTACATAAAAACGCCTCGCCACATGAAATTATACCTACAAAGTTACTGGGATTAATTCTGTTGGTCTTCCAATTCATTGTGGTCGACCATTTCAAAGTCTCGGCCTGTACTCGACTTGGATTCGCTCTCACTCTCGGAACCGTCCCCATCTTCATTTTCCATATCGACTGCTTTAACATTTCTGAAATTGTGTTTTCCTGATGGTTGATTGAAAATTATCACTATCAAACTCGTTTTTTTTCTGATTGACTTTTCAATTTAATCGCATTAACTTACCTTTCATTTTTGTATACTAGTATGGTGCTAAATAGAATACTCTCCTATTTAACAACGATAAATGTCTATTGATTATTCAGAAATTTAAACACTTGCATAAGAATACAGTGTATATTTCCATACTGATAGACTGATAACGGTAAAAAATTAATTGAAAACTAAAGAGGAAAAGTTCAATATTTTTAACTAGTCACAAAAAATTCGGAGTTTTTACCATTTCTCGTATTAATAGACACCGGTTAGAAAATTACTTTATTCAAGTAAATCCTATGCAATCGTACAGTGAGTGAAAAACTATCAAATTAAATTTTCAAACAAATTTCAGTAATCGCTTACCTTTCATCATCGGAACTTTCTCTCTTAGTATCGATGTTTTCTCCGAGATTTTCGACAACGTCTTCATTTCCATCTTTTTCATCCTCAGCATCGCTATCCTTGTCTTTCTTTTTCTTGTTCTTCTTTTTCTTGTCGGCTGAAGAAGCACCAGATCCCCGATATTCATATTTGTAGAGAGGCCAGAATGACGCCAAAAAACCTACATCCTGTAAAATTTGGAAAAATGTTGATCTATTTATTGTTTATTTCGCATGAAGATTCGTTAGTTTATGAAAGCTCTGAATTGCTAAAAATATACTTTGTTGCTCATACCTCGGTCAAATTGGGTAAAATCCATAGATGATGCTCTCCAAAAGTCAGTAACCAAATAATGCAGAACAGAATCAATCTAATCATTGCCATAACAATTATGGACACGAGGAAACAGGCCGCTGCCACACTAATATAATAGACGCCCAATCTACGATGTTTTCAATTTTACAATACACTGCTTTCTTGGCCACTTAACAAATAACTATTTACCTAACAATTGGGGGCCATAATGGGAACATGCAAATACCAATAGCACCGACAACAAGCAAGGCACCAAATATCCAATAGTGAAATGGAATCGGATCATAAATCCAAACATATGCATCTAAACTGTCTACAAAACGCTGGTCGTTATGCATTTCCAGTCGAATTTTCTTCTTTTTCTTATCCTTTTGCTGTTGCTACAATAAATAATGCAATGCTTAGAATTACTCGTTTTTTAATTAGTTGAATTAATTAGTTCACTGTTCGATTTTTAAATTTGTATCAGAATAGCTGTGATTATATA